AATGGTAAAATTTCAAAGTCGAACAATCTCTTCCGTTTCCGAGAAGAACTATCAGTTGTTGATGGTGTACCCTTAAAGGGATCACGAATCGTTATACCTGATAAGCTAAGAAAACAAACATTACAGTTAGCACACGAGGGTCATCAAGGTATAGTTAATACAAAACTGAGGCTACGTGAAAAAGTATGGTGGCTTGGAATCGACCAAGACGCCGAAAATTCTTGTTAAATCATGCAGAGCGTGCCAAGTCGTAGGACCCGTGCCGAAACAAGAACCTATAAAGAGAACACAGCTGCCAGACGGACCGTGGCAATACTTGTGTGCCGATCTTATGGGACCGTTCCCAACAGGTGAATATGTGTTTGTCGTAGTGGATAATTACTCCAGGTGGCAAGAGGTAGCGATACTTAAATCAGCTACAACAGATAAAATTATCCGTTCGCTTGATATGATGTTTTCTCAACACGGAATTCCAATAGCTTTGAAAACAGACAATGGGCCCCAATTCACATCAAGCAGAAAAACTACAAAAAGTATTCAGGAAATACTGGCTTCTTATTAAAACAGATTCTACAATGTGTGCCAGATTCCATAAAAACCTATCAATAGGATTCAAAAGAAATAGAACATTGGTGAATTAGTGAAACCAGCTATAAAATAATTTGTATAAACCTCACAGTTTCTACTAACTATTTAATACCAGTGCAGAACTAATTAATGACCATCAGGTAAACCACACATGTATACTACTTCCACTTCTACTTCTACTTTGTAGAGACCGCCTTCAACACGTTGAAGTTTATGTCACTTGTACTGCACATTGCTTTGTGGAGACGTATATACAGTGAAAAATTTAACATTTTTTATAATTAAAAAAAAAGAAAAAAATGATAATAACATTTTTATATAGTGGTAGTGCATATTTTTATTTTATTTATTTTTAATATTAAGATAAAACTATTTACACATGATGAATTTACTGACTGTAGGTGTAGGTTGAGATGGCTGTTTTGAACGACTCTATTGAGTCGCTCATAACAATACTCAGAGGAAGGCCGTTCCAGTTTTTAATTGTTCGTGGAAAAAATGATTGTTGGGGTATTTGTGTTCTGCATGATGGAATTTGGTATGAGAGTGCGTGCATGTTCCGGGACTGTCTGAGCGGTTGTATTAGTATGTCTGTTTTTGTGATTGCGATGAGATGGTATGTGATTTTGTAAAACATGACAAGGCGTGCATCTGTTCTTCTGTGTGCGAGGTCTCTCCATGTTAAGTGATCTATCATGTCACTAACCCTTGATGTGTTTCTGTGTCGGTTAGTGACAAACCAAGCAGTCCTTCTTTGCACCTTTTCTAGTTTGTTTATATCCTCAGTAAAGTAAAGATCCCATACGGAACAGGCATATTCTAGTGATGGTCTGACTGAAGATTTATATGCCTGTTCCTTTACTGAGGTGGAACTGATGTTAAGATTCCTTCTTAGAAAACCTAGTGTACTGTTAGCCTTATTACAGATGGTTTTTATGTGACTGTGCCATTTTAGGTCTGATTGTATTGTCACGCCTAGGTATTTTGCCTTGTCAACATGTTCAAGAACGTGGCCGTGTAGATTGTAATTGAAAGTGAATGGATTTTTATTTCGACTAATGGACATAACATTACACTTGTCAGGATGAAAAGCCATTTTCCATGTATGTTCCCAGATGCTTAGTGTGTTTAGATCTTTTTGTAGGGTTTCGCAATCGCTGTTAGATTTTATAACCAGGTAAGCAATAGTGTCGTCTGAAAATAGGCGTATGGTGGAATTTAACCCAACTGGTATATCATTAATATAAAATAAGAACAGATCCTTGAGGCACTCCTGACTTCACAGGGACATAGCCTGAAGTCTCACCCTCTAGGATAACTGCTTGGGTACGACATGATAAAAAGCCCTGTATCCATGCATTTGTTTTCCCCGGTATCCCATAGTAATTTAGTTTGTGTGTTAATTAGTTATGACTGACTTTATCAAAAGCTTTAGAAAAGTTCATTATAAGTACATCTGTTTGTTTTGAAGTTTCAATATTTTTAGTGATATCGTCTATAAATTCCAAAAGCTGAGTTTCACAAGATCTATTTTTTCGAAAGCCGTGTTGTAGGGAATACATGATGTTATGGTTGTCTGCGTGTGTCATGATTGCGCTAACTACAACATGTTCCATAATTTTGCAACATATGCATGTTAAAGAAATAGGCCTATAATTCTCTGGATTATATTTGGACCCTTTCTTGAAAATGGGGGAAACATGTGCAGTACGCCAGTCAGTGGGGACTTCGCCAGTATCTAATGATTTCTGATATATGAGGCACAGTATAGGTGATATTTCATGTGCTAACTCCCTAAGGAGTCGTGACTTAAGTTCGTCTGGTCCACTTGCTTTTGATGGGTTTAAATTTAAAAGTAGTTTGGAGATACCTTTGATGGTTATGTTTATGTTTTGCATGGTAGGGTAAGCTGTTTTCTGTTGCATGTACTGATTGTTTTCAAATTCAGTAGCAGTGATTTTGTTTGGTTCTGAGAAAACAGATTGAAACTGCCTGTTGAGTGCATCGGATTTCTGTTTTGTGTCTGTTACAAGTTTCCCATTCTGCTTTAGTGGTGTTATTCGACTGCAGTCAGTTTTTTTGCTTTTAATAAATGACCAAAATTTTTTCATGTTTGAAAATTTGCTTTCATCAGGTTTTGGTGTAACAATATTTTCAATGTACTGCCATATGATTGTCTTAGTTGTTTTTGTACTTGATGTTTAATTTGCTTATATTTGTTTCTCATATTGTCATTTCCAGATTTTTTCTTCTTTTTATAGAGTCGGCCTCTCTTTTTCATTAATTTTCTTGTTTCAGATGTAACCCATGGGGTTTTATTTTTTGTAGTTAGCTTTTTGTGTGGAATATGCTCATTGACTAGTTCATTAAGTTTTGTTTTTAATTCTAGCCAGAGTTCATCAACAGTATGCGTATTAACCTTTTCCTGTATAGTATGTTGTAGGTTAATTACTTCTTTTTTTTTATATAGTTTCCCAGTTTGCCTTGTTGTAAATCGGAACATTCCTTGGTGTTTGCTTTAGCTTAGATGGTGTTATTTTGAATTCCATAAAGACAATGTCATGATCTGAGATTCCCGGCATGATTTCAATTCGTGGAACCTGGTTTGGTAAATTTGTGATCATAAGATCTAATATATTGTCTTTCCTTGCTGGATATTCAATTAATTGTACCAAGCCGTTATCATCCAATGTATTTCCAAAATCATAGTGTATGTTTTGGTGGGTAGATTTTGGTTTTAGAATTTTGTTTTTCCAATCCCACCCTGAGAGATTAAAATCTCCTCCAATTAGTATTGCTGCATTTTTTATTTGAGTAGCTCTCCTAACTGATGTATCAAACCACTTTATGCTTTGTTCATCAGATGTTTTTGGGTTGTAAAAGGATTATATGTAAAGTGATCTGCTACCCTTAATTTCAATTTTTGCCCGTACCATTTCAGATTTAACATCAGGTGTAAGGTCTTCAACTTCATCACTTATAAAGTCTGATTTAATTGCAATGAGTACACCACCACCCTGCTGGTTTTTTCTGTCTTTTCTGTATAGTGTGTACTCTTCAGGAAAGATTTCAATATCTTTGATTGTTGAGTCGAGCCAAGTTTCTGTCCCAATTACAATATACGGTTTAGTGCTATCTATGATATTTTGAACGAGATGTTGTTTACGTTTGTTTAGTATTTGAATAATGATATAAACTTTCAAATGGGTTAGACGAACTTGCACCATGTAAGTCAAAAGGGCATGTGCTGTAGTTTGGATTTTCACAAATTAAACAGTTCCAGCTAATCATGCTGTCATTTAGCAAATCATATGTATTACTGTGTATATTCTGACAATCAATATGATACCATTGATCGCAAGTTTCACAGACAATACCTCTGTGTTCCCAAGTCACAACATCATCACATGTGCCACACTTATCCTGATAATCTTATGACAAAACTTTCTTACCATCATGACCATGGAAAACTTAATCAACATTTATTGAAATAGATTGAAAAACAAAAAAAAATCAAAATTCAAATTTAAATTAACAAATTAAAAATAAAAATAAATAATAAATAATAAAAAAAAAACATTTGAAAAAATTAAAACAGTAATAAAAAAGAATTAAATGGAAAAGAAAAACAAAAGGGGTGGTCTCATATGAAGGTTTCCCTGGAGTAAACACAATTCCGAAAAAAACCCCGACACATTGCGTACAGAACACAGTATCAATGTAAGGCCAGAGATATGATTGGCACCAAAATGGGTGGATATTGGATCAATTTCTATGAAATTAAAGGTCAGAGATATGATTCGCACCAAATTGGGTGGATATTGGATCAATTTCTATGAAATTAAGCACAGTATCAATGTAAGGCCAGAGATATGATTCGTACCAAAATGGGTGGATATTGGATCAATTTCTATGAAATTAAAGGTCAGAGATATGATTCGCACCAAATTGGGTGGATATTGGATCAATTTCTATGAAAGTATATTTAATAGGTACAATCAGAAGTCCATTAGAGTCTAGTAATGGACTTCTGGTACAATTAAACAGTGGGCGAAAAATTAATGTTACAGGATGGGAGGTGGGAGATTGAAGGGGGTGGGAGATTGGAGGTGGGAGGTGGGAGATTGGAGGTGGGAGGTGGGAGACTGGGGTGTGGGAGGTGGAAGAGAGTACCCCCCCCCCCCCTGTCCACCCCCTCATAATTATTTGAGACCTCTGACGAATCACGGTAATGATATTTTGACGAATCAAGATAAAAAAAAATAAACCATTTTGACGCTAACGGTAGCCGAAAATTGACCGTTTAACGCCTGACGGTAAAGGAATATTCCTACCCTCATCTATGTACACGGTAAAAGCTCGGGTAAAAGTTTTTTTACTCGGTAAAAGCAGAGACATATGTGATCATATCCTCGTGTATTGTGTTTTCGACCTACTTACAATTTATCAATATTTCCCCTTTAATATGTTTGAACATATACATGCCTAATATTTTTTAGAGTCACTAGTATACTTGTACATTAAATAATTGTATCTAAAATATATTTCGATCTTAAATATTTTTTTTATTTCAGTTCATTAGATCGATGGCACCTTTGTTGACAAAAACTAGCGTCTTGTGTTTTCGACCTATCTAAGAAACGGGTCCAAAGTCGGAAATGACATGTCGTACAAATCCGGAATTGGTTATAATTTGATGCCAATGTTTATATCAAATTATTCAAAGTTTTAGAGGCGATCAAACTTATGATTTAATGAATTAAATGGTGACATATACAACTATAAGATATAAAATATTATTTTGATATCTTTATTTGACTAGTTGTACACATTTCACATGAGGACCTTGTATACAGTCATGTTTCTGTTCAATATACTTCAGTGAAGGCATTATAAAGTGAGGTTGGTGAGTATTGTCTGTAATCTCCCCTGACAGACTGCTGTTTCTGTGAATTAAAATTAATTGATATTTTATTTTTTTCAGCAAAAAACTGTAAGAATCATCCACATTTCCGTATTAAAAATAACTTTTAAGTATATCACCTAACCACATGACAGTCATGTGACGTAATGACCTTGATGTTAACTTCACATGCTAAAAGTCCTCGGCCATATTTCTAGAATATTTGTTTATTTTTGATAGATTCTTGTGGAAGGTAAAAAAAGTATTAGTGAAAAGGTACAAAAATGTGATATCAAATAAAATAACGTAAATACTTAATTATAATAACTTTACTTGAAACATCTTCACCACACGTGGTATTATTTGCTATTGTTACTAAATATAGCAGCCAAATGTGACGTCACACGGGCATGCGCAGCATACGGGAAGTGAAAGTAGAATTAGGTCGAAAACGTACGTAAGACGGTCTAAAACACAATACGAGACGATATGTCTCTGGTAAAAGGTAAAATCCAGTTAATTTACACTTTCTTTATATACACACAAAATACGAAATATAAAAAGTAAAATAACAAAAATACTGAATCCCAAGGAAAATTCAAATCAGAATACGATGCTTAAATTTCAAATGTCTTTCGCTTTCAAATGTTCACGATTCCTTTTCTTTTTCACAAGGACAAATATAGAACGGAAATGCCGAAATCAACCAATCAAAAATTTCGATACAAATCCGAGTTCTGACATAAATTAGAATGATGAATTGTCGCATTTATTGATTTCTAGCAGCAACAAAAACAGGAGTTTTTTGTCCTTTGGGCAAAAGTTATGAATAGAAAATGCATTTATTTTTCAAGGTGATATATTTAAAGATTATTGAGTCATATGGTGAGTCCGTATTACATGTATATGTCTCTGGTAAGTCTGAATAAAACTTAACCAAAAAAACAATGATTTGATATTTTTAGACAATTTTAACAACGCAATGACCAGTTGTTGTAATTTTCTCATTTTATTTTGGAACTTATAGTATTTAAATGATTGAGAGACATCTGGAGACAGTCAAGTACAGTTTTGTCTGTTAATGTGACACACCTAAGTCTAAGACTGAGTAATTTTGTGTGTATTGATCAATGATGATGGTAGCCTGAGGCTGAGATGGAACAGGGACTTTCTATATATAGAAAATATAGAAAGTCCCTGGATGGAACCACTAGACTCCTATTGTTTTCAGAGTTTAATTAGAATAAATATGTTAACTTATTATGCCTACTCATTCCAGGGGCGGGTCCAGGTGGGCTTAATGGGCGTACGCACCCCCCCCCCCCCCCCCCCCCCCCTTTTAAAAAAAAACAACAAAAAAAACTATCGTTATGTGCTAATATTGTATTGAATATGGCAATTTATGCATTTCACAATTATTTTATGTTTTTTAACAAAAAAAAGGTCCAAAATTTTGTTCGCCTCGCTCCGCTCAGCGAAATTTTTCATTCTACACCCCCTCTTTCAAATATCCTAGAAACGCCCCTGCATTCTGTAAGTATGATCCCAATTCAAACTTTGACTTTCAGGCTCTTTTACTTATCTATTTTAATACAATAAATTATAATGATAATAAGAGACAAGAAGCCTCTCCACACTTCAAATATTTCTTGTTGTTGAAGGCTGTACAGTTGCCTATAATACACAAATCCCAAGTTGTTTTTTATGAATGAGTGGCACTGGTTGACCTTAGGTCAATCAGTGTAAATGACTTTATCAATCAATCAGTTCTTACTGTGATGTAATGACATAAGCATTTTGACATAAAATTTAAGGGAAAATGCACAAATTCGAAAATTATTGCTTTAGTTACATCCACTTCTGGATAGTTGTCTCATCGACAATTATACCACATCTCCTTATTTTTATATTATAATGTTATATCATATGGTCATACTTTTCTGTAATCAGATATAAAATAAATAAATAAATTAAAAAAATTTAACAGGAGATCTTTTTGAATCAGTTATTTTTATAGTTGGAAAATACTAATTTCTTGTACTTTATTAAAGAAAAGATACTGTAAAATTTGACTTCTGGGAACATAGGATTTTATTTTCAATCAGTTGTTTACTTAGATACTTCCTGTCTAGTTCATTGTAGTTAAAGGACAAAGAATAAAATCAGATATTTTTCTTACTTTTGAACCCTTTCTTCAAAACAACATTTTTCTTTTCCTGATCATGACATCATGACCATAGTTAAAAACTAAAAGTTGAGATGTAAACATATACCTAAAACAGATACGCCCCTAAAACGATTGTGAAGTACTCACTTCAAAACAATTGTTTCTATCCAAAGTTGAAATTCGAACCATTATATTTCTTTCCCTAAATTCTTAGCCAATTATGATTTTTAATTGCCAAAATTATTATTTTTAACAAAATGCAAAAAAGGCAACCGCCAGAGGAAACCCTGCAAGCAAATACTCCAATAGCAGAATCCTTGCAAGCAAATCAGGGTTTCCCCTGGGTCAATTTTCTTTTTCGCCATCTCTTTAGCCAATACAATATATTTTTCGCCACTTTCAATTTATTTTTCGCCAACTAAAACATATTTTTCTTTAAAATTTTCCTTCTTGCAAAAAAAAAAATCAGTTTGTCCCATTGTTGTCTATGATAATTCTACAAATCTTATTTTATAATCTACATTGTAATGAATAAACACTAAGCATTTACTTTTTAAACGATACTAAAATTGCAATATAGATCTATATTCATCGTTTTTGACTTCTGGGAACATGAGATTCATCTTCAATAAGTTTATCGGATATATATTTCCCGTCTAGTTGAAGGATAAAGAATAAAATGAGATTTTTCTTACTTTTGAATATATGTCTTCATTATCATAACAGTTTTCTTTTCCGGACCATCGTAAAAGTTGAGACATAAAACTATGCTTGAAACTCGTGCATCGCCAAAACGATTGTAAAGTACCCACTTCAAATCAATTATTTCTATCAAAGTTAAAGGATAAAGTTTAAAGTCGGAGATTTTTCTTGTTTTTCAACATTTTTTGTCATTACAACAGGTTTTTTCCGGACCTTCGTTAAAAGAAAAAGAGGAGACGTAAAACTATGCTTCAAACACGTGCATCGCAAAGTTGTAAATAAATCTTTTAGGTGTCATGTGACGCCATTTCACCTCATCCTTTCATTAAACCATACAATCAACACCTTTATTAATTAGTCCATTGTTGCCAGCAGCTATAAAATGCAATCAGCTGATTATTGATTTTCTGTCAAAAACGTAATGAGTTCAAGGTGAATTCCCAGTATTGTCTGATCAGGTAAAGTCCGAGAAACACCAAAAAAAGAAACAAGATGGATGAAATCGAATCGTTATGATTCTTTCGCCAAATTCTTTCACCAATAATTAATTTTAATCACCACAATTTTTGTTTTTTTCGCAAAATGCGAAAATGACGACCACCAGCGGAAACCCTGAAGCAAATACTCCAATGTAATTGAAAGTAATTCATTTATTAACATGGCAAAAAGGCAATGTAATTCATTACTTTCAATTACAATTTATTAAAAGATGCTCTATTGCTCATTACTTTAAATTACCTTCAAATTTGTAATTAGTTACATTGAGTACATGTATATGTTATTAAAACTATATTTTTGATCACCCCAGGCCTGATTATACATGTACATAAAATGTTCTATGTTCATATCTTTAACATGTTTAAGAAATTATATTTTAATAAGTTACTTTATTTAAAATGTCTTGGTTTTGGGTCTTGCAATATAATTAAGAAATACATATATTTTAACATTAAATGTACATGTACATGTAAGATGCACAATTTTTTTTATGTCTTCCAGAAACATCAGTATTTGATTATTACTGCTATGAATGATAAAGTTCCTGTTTTGAAAATGAAAAAACATCATACGTATACTATATTTTGGGCTACCAAGAATTGAGTTGAAGTGCTATAATGGAAAAGCAAACAGAAAATCTGGTGATTGAAATAAAAACTGAGCCTTCAGATAACTATTATGATAACAAAAATGAAAACTGTAATATTGGTCACTACAGCAGTCATGGCAATAAGCCATCAGATATTGATAATTTACAACTTGAAGAAACTTCACTGACTGTCCCTAACATAAAAACTGGAACAAAACTAGAGGATGCAGTAGAAGGCAGTCCATTCAGATTAAGTGGTAGAGCTTCATTTTTGTATCAGAAATCATCAGGAGATCTAAATTTAAATATATGTGGTAAAGAAAAAGATACGAAAAAGTCATCAAATGAGGTAGAATGTCCAAAGTTTATAGAGGATACTGCTAAAGTTAAAATGATATCATCAGAACAGGAAGAAATTGTTATAGAACATGTTGAAAAAGGTATAATGGACAAGTTGAAAATTTTGAAAGAAGACAACAAATCAAAAGGTAATATCTGTGTTTAATTAAGATTTTGTCTCGAACATGTCTCATTCATCAAATAACACACTTATAATTGGAGTAAAACATTTATTTGAAAATTTTGTGTTTTCTAAGTGGTGTGGCTGATAAACTGATTTTAAATCCATCATCATTTTGATGCGATTTCTTGGGGATAACTGTAGAACTGTATTTAAGTCATATGAAATGAATTTCTTTCTTGTAATTTTAATGTTATCGAAATTATTGAACCAATGCATGCACCTGTCCTAAGTCAGGAATCTGATGTTCAGTAGTTGTCGTTTGTTGATGTGGTTCATAAGTGTTTCTCATTTTTTATATAGATTAGACCATTGGTTTTCCCGTTTGAATGGTTTTACAGTAGTAATTTTTTGGGGCCCTTTATAGCTTACTGTTCGGTGTGAGCCAAGGCTCCGTGTTGTAGACCGTACTGTGACCTATAATGGTTTACTTTTATAAATTTTGACTTGGATGGAGAGTTGTCTCATTGGCACTCATACCACATCTTCTTATATCTATATATACTAAACTAAGTCATGTATGTACAATTTTTATACGACCGCAAAAAAATTTTTGTCGTCGTATATTGGTATGACGTTGGCGTCGTCGTCGTCCGAAGACACATTGGTTTTCGCACTCTAACTTTAGTTTAAGTGAATGGATCTCTATGAAATTTTACCACAAGGTTCAATACCACAAAAGGAAGGTTGGGATTGATTTTGGGGGTTATGGTACCAACAGTAAAGGAATTAGGGGCCAAAAAGGGGCCAAAAATTAGCATTTTTGTAACTTCCAGACATAACTTGTGTGTAAGTGTATGGATCTCTCTGACATTGTACCACAAGGTTCCATATCACAAAAGGAATGCTAGTATTGATTTGGGGGGTAATTGCCTCAAAATTTTAGGAATTAGGGGCCAAAAAAGGGGCAAAAAACAAGCATTTTTCTAGTTTCATGACAATAACTTGTGTGTAAGTGTATGGATCTTTCTGAAATTGTTATACAAGGTTCCATATCACAAAGGGAAAGCTGGGTATGAGTTTGGGGGTAATTGTCCTAAACGTTTAGGAATTGGGGGCCAAAAAGGGGCCAAAAAACACATTTTTCTAGTTTCTAGACATTAACTTGTGTTCAAGTGTATGGATCTCTCTGAAATTGTACTGCAAGGTACCATAACACAAAAGGAAGGCTGGGATATTTTGGGGGTAATTGCCTCAATATTTTAGGAATTAGGGGCTAAAAAGGGGCAAAAAACAAGCATTTTTCTAGTTTCAGGACAATAACTTGTGTGTAAGTGTATGGATCTCTCTGAAAGGTACCATACCACAAAGGGAAGGCTGGGATTGAGTTTGGGGGTGATGAATCATAAGGGGGTTCAAAAAATTTGGGGGGGGGGGGGGTTTCCTTTTTTTTTTCTTTTACCATTTTAAGTTGGTTATTTCTGATTTATATTTAAAAGCAAATAATAATGATATGGTAGGAGATACACACCAAACAGGATGTGTAAATTATTATATAATAAGTATTGTGCAATAGCAAGAAATTTTCAATTGCACAGTATTGCACAATAGCAAGAAATCTTCAATTGCACAGTATTGCGCAATAGCAAGAAATCTTCAATTGCACAGTATTGCGCAATAGCAAGAAATATCCAATAGCACAATATTGCACAATAGCAAGAAATTGTCAAAAGTACAGTATTGCGCAATAGCAAGAAATATTTAATTGCACAGTATTGTGCAAAAGAAGATACTTTGTATAAATTGCTTATTTCTTGACCAATTTCAATGGGGTTTTATTCTTGAATTCTTGGGGTTTTTTAATATGCTGAATCATACCATGTATTAAGTTTTTGGATTTTGGGCCCCGTTTTTAAATTGGTCCACATTGAGGTCCAAAGGGTCCAAAATTAAACTTTGTTTGATTTCATCAAAAATTGATTTATTGGGGTTCTTTGATATGCCGAATCTAACCGTGTATTTAGATTCTTAATTTTTGGTTCCGTTTTCAAATTGGTCTACATTAAGGTCCAAAGGGTCCAAAATTAAACTTAGTTTGATTTTAACAAAAATTGAATTCTTAGGGTTCTTTTATATGCTGAATCTAAACATGTATTTAGATTTTTGATTATGGGCCCAGTTTTCAAGTTGGTCCAAATCGGGGTCCAAAATTAAACTATGTTTGATTTCAACAAAAATTAAATATATGGGGTTCTTTGATATGCTGAATCTAACCATGTATTTAGATTTTTGATTTTTGGGCCCCGTTATCAACTTTGTCCACATTGAGGTCAAAAGGGTCCAAAATTAAACTTTGTTTGATTCCATCAAAAATTGAATTCTTGGGGTTCTTTGATATGCTGAATCTAACCATGTATTTAGATTTTGGATATTGGAACATAATAGGTGAATGTCCAATTTAAAATTTTTAAGTTCTTAGACCACATTCATTCTGTGTCAGAAACCTATGCTGTGTCGAATATTTAATCACAATCCAAATGCAAAGCTGTATCAAGCTTGAATGTTGTGTCCATACTTGCCCCAACTGTTCAGGGTTCGACCTCTGAGGTTGTATCAAGCTGCGCACTGCGGAGCATTTTATTATATTTATAAGAATCTACATGTATAAGGTATTATCAACAAATAATATTTCATTCAGTGAGTGTTGATCGCAAGCTAATTAATTTTCAAATGTGTTGCCGAAGTTTACTGGATAGTGACATTCATAAACAATCAACACAGAGCACGTGGTAGCCTTTTCAATAGTCGTCTGGCGCGAAAACAAATGGAAAAAGGCCGATAACTCAATTTTAGAATTTAATATTTTCGGAGACAGTCAATTTCCAGAATTGCATGCTTTATCATCACCATTTTTTCTTTGGCCGTCAATGATGACACTATTGCTGCATTCTTTGACAATAAGGTATATTTAACAAGACAGTATTATCAATGTATTATCGTGGTATCAACATATGTTAGCAATGTTAGATACCTGAATTAATTCTAATTTTGGCAAGGACAATTCATCACTTCCCCGGAAAACATGATTTTGTACAAGTTCACTTTTCGGCATCTCCAGGCAGCAAAGCAGATCAAATTCCTGATGATTTTTACTACGGCATTCTGCTTTTTATTCGACCGCAAAAAATTTTTGTGGTCGTATATTGGTATGACGTTGTCGTCGTCGTCGTCCGAAGACACATTGGATCGGAGCATTTTATTATCATTTACCATAAGGTTCAATACCACAAAAGGAAGGTTGGGATTGATTTTGGGGGTTATAATTATGGTACCAACAGTTAAGGAATTAAGTGCCAAAAATAAGCATTTTTGTAACTTCCAGACATAACTTGTGTGTTAGTGTATGGATCTCTCTGACATTGTACCACAAGGTTACATATCACACAGGGAATGCTGGGATTGATTTTGGGGGTAATTGCCTCAAAATATTAGGAATTAGGGGAAAAAAACAAGCATTTTTTTAGTTTCATGACAATAACTTGTGTGTAAGTGTATGGATCTTTCTGAAATTGTACTACAAGGTTCCATATCACAAAGGGAAAGCTGGAATTGAGTTTGGGGGTAATTGCCCAAAACGTTTAGGAATAAGGGGCCAAAAAGGGGGCCAAAAATAAGAATTTTTCTAGTTTCCAGACAATAACTTGTGTTCAAGTGTATGGATCTCTCTGAAATTGTACTGCAAGGTTCCATATCACAAAGGGAAAGCTGGGTTTGAGTTTGGGGGTAATTGCCCTAAACGTTTAGGAATTTGGGGCCAAAAAACAAGCATTTTTCTAGTTTCCAGACAATAACTTGTGTTCAAGTGTATGGATCTCTCTGAAATTGTACTGCAGGTACCATACCACAAAGGGAAGGCTGGGATTGATATTGGGGGGTGATGAATCATAAGGGGGTTCAAAACATTTGAGGGGGGGGGGATTTTTTTTTCCTTAAAATTTTCCATTTTAAATTGGTTATTTCTGATTTATATATAAAAGCAAATAATAATGATATGGTTTGAATAGGTAAATTAAAAAAATTTAAGTTCTTAGACCACATTCATTCTGTGTCAGAAACCTGTGCTGTGTCAAATATTTAATCACAATCCAAATTCAGTGCTGTATCAAGCTTGAATGTTGTGTCCATACTTGCCCCAACTGTTCAGGGTTCAACCTCTGCGGTCGTATAAAGCTGCACCCAGCGGAGCATTTTATTATTAATTGCTACATATTACCGCTTTTTTTAAATCAATTTTTGTTTATATTAACAAATAAGAGTAACATACATTTTTTTTTTGTACTAGTTCGAGTTGTCGTTCGTAGTGTATAGTTTGTTCCAATAACAGTGTTTGTTTCTGGTACAGTTTGGCAGTTGTTTATTAACAATAAAGTTGTTTCAACCTAAACACATGTTAGCTTCAGTGCGTGGTTTTTTGTCGAGCCTGCGACTTTTGTCGCAGAAAGCCCGACATAGGGATAGACCGATAGTGATCTGGCGGCGGCAGCATTAGCTAACTTCTTAAAAGCTTTATACTTTAGAAGGTGGAAGACCTGGATGCTTCATACTTTGTATATGGATGCCTCATGTTACGAAGTTTCCATCAGTCACATGTTCAATGTCCTTGACCTCATTTTCATGGTTCAGTGACTACTTGAAAAAAAAAGTTAAGATTTTTTGTAATGTTAAATTCTCTCTTATTATAAGTAATAGGATAACTATATTTGGTATGTGCATACCTTGCAAGGTCCTCATGCCCGTCAGACAGTTTTCACTTGACCTCGACCTCATTCCATGGATCAGAGAACAAGGTTAAGTTTTGGTGGTCAAGTCCATATCTCAGATACTATAAGCAAAAGGTCTAGTATATTCGATGTATGGAAGGACTGTAACGTGTACATGTCCAACTGGCAGGTTTCATGTGACCTTGACCTCATTTTCATGGTTCAGTGGTTATAGTTAAGTTTTTGTGTTTTGGTCTGTTTTTCTTATACTGTATGCAATAGGTCTACTACATTTGGTGTATGGAATGATTGTAAGGTGTACATGTCTAGCTGGCAGGTGTCATCTGACCTTGACCTCATTTTCATGGTTCAGTGGTCAAAGTTAAGTTTTTGAGTTTTGGTCTTTTTTTCTAATACTATATGCAATAGGTCAACTATATTTGGTGTATGGAAATATTTTATGATCTTAATGTCAGTCGCGCAGGTTTAATTTGACCTTGACCTCATTTTCACGGTTCATTGCTCAGTGTTAATTTTTTGTGTTTTGGTCTGTTTTTCTTAAACTATAAGCAATAGGTCAACTATATTTGTTGTATGGAAGAATTATTAGCTGTACATGCCTGCCTAGCATGGTTCATCTGACCTTGACCTCATTTTCATGGTTCATTGCAATTGGTCAATGTTTAGTTTTCTTGGTTAATGTTAAGTTTATGTGACAGTTGTAATAAAGCTTTATATTTAGGACTATCAATATAATATCAATGATTAGTAAAGAAGGCGAGACATTTCAGCTTGTGCACTCTTGTTTTAATTAGTAATTGTTTACAAAAACAAATTGTTTCTAAATACATTTGGCAGATAGGATTATTATGTAATTGTTATTTCCCTTGTTTAAAACTATAAATTGCTTGTTTCTATATTTAACGATTTACATGATACTTCTTCAGTACATATTTGTTAAATTGAATAGATATGGCTATTTTGAATGCATTTGTTAAAGATGTTTATTTATGTTCTAAAGTTTAGTATTTGCATCGTTGCTAATCATTTATAACCTTCGATGAGAGACTTAATCATTTTATATAAGTGGTTTGGTATTATGGTACAAATGTATTGAAATAAACTGACTGTGCAAGGGCTGTACAGCCAGACAAGGTCGTTAAAAACTTCCATATATACATGTATATTTAATTAAATTTATTAAATGCACTAAAATCTCCCTATCAGGTTAGTGCATTGTCATTGTTTTTTGGTTTTTCTTTTATTTAGATAATCATAGCGCTTTTACATAAGGCATCCATCGTCTTATATATCAGTTCACAAACAGAGCAACTGTCATTGAACTGTGGTCGGCACCCACTGCAGAATTGCTCCTGCTACATACATGACCCTACCCCCTTTTCTTTTTTGGCTATCAGTGAGGGGGTGGACAGGGGGCATTGATTCCCAGTTCCCTCCCCACAACTCCTACTTCACTCCGTATTCTGTTCCTCTGCACTCCTATTGTTTCGTGAATTATCCCTGTTTTAAAAACCCTTTCCTCACGGTTAACACCACCCTGACTTCAGCTTCCATCCACCCAATTTCCATTTCCAGCCCTCTCATTCCAGAATCCAGAGTTCCCATAATTCCCTATCAGTGTCACAATGACTCGCACCCATTAACAACTCATCATTTGGCCACAAATTATATTATACTACCTGATTTGTTTCCTATATGCAAAAATTACGAGTCATGACTTTTGCTTTAATAATGGCCATTAATGGGGTAAGCAAAAAAAATACCTAGAAGATGTTTTAAAAAATAGACTAAAGTTGATGAGATACCTCCTCGTGTAACAAGATTTATCTCTCCTGTGATTAAAACACATAGAGATTGAGATTGAATTGTCTCCCTTTGATATCAGCCAGTACCAAAGCACAATTATTTCTTTTGTGACTTTTTATTGGTTAACAATAGTTAAATAAAAGAAAAAGGATAATACTTTCAATTTCGAGTTCTCACAAAAACATATTTACCTGTTATTATAATTTAACATTAAAAACCCAAATTTAGATGAAAAGGCTACATTGTACATGTGGAAAACGTGACAAATAAGTGAATAGATATATATATAGAGCCATGACATTTTTTAATTAAACTTTTCCTTAACAGTTGTTAAATGATTTGTTGTATTAAATTTGTTTTTTTAGAATCAGTTATTACCATTTACACCTTCAAGTGTAGGTTTGTTTACATTCATTCATCACAGTTTTCCCCCTGGCACTTGCCCTGTGCGGTTGCCAAAGTTCGAACGAGAGGTCTCGTAGTGAAGGTCACTGTATACGGGAAAATATCGGTGAATTAGTGTACTGGAAGTCATTAATTCAATAGAAGTACATTTATGAAGATTTTGATAATATAAAGGATTTTCTTTTACAAGAAAGTTTACGTACACTTGTTTTATAGTAAAACTTAGCCATTAGAGTATATAAAACATATTCAACTTTTTTTTTAAATTCAAAGTTCCATATGACTTTAATCATGTTAATGGGGAATGATATTTTGGAAATAATTTTTTTCATTTTTTTTGTAAAGTTTTTGAAGAACTTCGTGAAAGGTTTGTTTGTTATTCTGTATAAATTACTTTTCAGAATGCTATATATATATGTAAAATTGAGAATGGAAATGGGGAATGTGTCAAAGAGACAACAACCTGACCATAGAGCTGACAACAGCCGACGTCTACCAATGGGTCTTCAATGCAGCGAGAAACTCCTGCACCCGGAGGCGTCCTTCAGCTGGCCCCTAAACAAATATGTATACTAGTTCAGTGATAATGGACGTCATACTAAACTCCAAATTATACACAAGAAACTAAAATTACAATTTGATACAAAGCAAGGTTGGGCGGTATTTACCGCCCCTGGTATTTACCGGCGGTATTTACCGCACCGGACAATACTCCTCAAGTGGTCAATACTGGCAAATACTGGTCGATTGAAACTTTCATGGTGGTTTTTATACGACCGCAAAAAAATTTTTGTGGTCGTATATTGGTATGACGTTGGCGTCGTCGTCGTCCGGCGTCGTTGTCGTCCGGCGTCGTCCGAAGACACATTGGTTTTCGCACTCTAACTTTAGTTTAAGTGAATGGATCTTTATGAAATTTTACCACAAGGTTCAATACCACAAAAGGAAGGTTGGGATTGATTTTGGGGGTTATGGTAATAACAGTAAAGGAATTAGGGGCCAAAAAGGGGCCAAAAATAAGCATTTATGTAACTTCCAGACATAACTTGTGTGTTAGTGTATGGATCTCTCTGACATTGTACCACAAGGTTCCATATCACTAAAGGAATGCTGGGATTGATTTTGGGGGTAATTGCCTCCAAATTTTAGGAATTAGGGGCCAAAAAAGGGGCAAAAAACAAGCATTTTTCTAGTTTCATGACAATAACTTGTGTGTAAGTGTATGGATCTTTCTGAAATTGTACTACAAGGTTCCATATCACAAAGGGAAAGCTGGGTTTGAGTTTGGGGGTAATTGCCCTAAACGTTTAGGAATTTGGGGCCAAAAAGGGGCCAAAAAACACATTTTTTTCTAGTTTCCAGACAATAACTTGTGTTCAAGTGTATGGATCTCTCTGAAATTGTACTGCAAGGTACCATACCACAAAGGGAAGGCTGGGATTGAGTTTGGGGGGTGATGAATCATAATGGGGGTTCAAAAAATTTTGGGGGGGGATTTATTTTTTTTTCCTTTTTTTCTTTTTTTCCTTTTTTGTTTCTTTTAAAATTTTCCATTTTAAGTTGGTTATTTCTGATTTATATTTAAAATCAAATAATAATGATATGGTAGGAGATACACACCAAACAGGATGTGTAAATTATTATATAATAAGTATTGTGCAATAGCAAGAAATTTTCAATTGCACAGTATTGCACAATAGCAAGAAATCTTCAATTGCACAGTATTGCGCAATAGCAAGAAATCTTCAATTGCACAGTATTGCGCAATAGCAAGAAATATCCAATAGCACAATATTGCGCAATAGCAAGAAATTGTCAATTGTACAGTATTGCGCAATAGCAAGAAATATTTAATAGCACAGGATTGTGCAAAAGAAGATACTTCCTATAAATTGCTTATTTCTTGACCAATTTCAATGGGGTTTTATTCTTGATTTCATGGGGTTCTTTAATATGCTGAATCTAACCGTGTATTTAGTTTTTGGATTTTGGGCCCCGTTTTTAAATTGGTCCACATTGAGGTCCAAAGGGTCCAAAATTAAACTTTGTTTGATTTCATCAAAAATTGAATTATTGGGGTTCTTTGATATGCCGAATCTAACTGTGTATTTAGATTCTTAAATTTTGGTTCCGTTTTCAAATTGGTCTACATTAAGGTCCAAAGGGTCCAAAATTAAACTTAGTTTGATTTTAACAAAAATTGAATTCTTAGGGTTCTTTGATATGCTGAATCTAAACATGTATTTAGATTTTTGATTATGGGCCCAGTTTTCAAGTTGGTCCAAATCGGGGTCCAAAATTAAACTTTGTTTGATTTCAACAAAAATTGAATATATGGGGTTCTTTGATATGCTGAATCTAACCATGTATTTAGATTTTTGATTTTTGGGCCCCGTTATCAACTTTGTCCACATTGAGGTCAAAAGGGTCCAAAATTAAACTTTGTTTGATTTCATCAAAAATTGAATTATTGGGGTTCTTTGATATGCCGAATCTAACCGTGTATTTATATTCTTAATTTTTGGTTCCGTTTTCAAATTGGTCTACATTAAGGTCCAAAGGGTCTAAAATTAAACTTAGTTTGATTTTAACAAAAATTGAATTCTTAGGGTTCTTTGATATGCTGAATCTAAACATGTATTTAGATTTTTGATTATGGGCCCAGTTTTCAAGTTGGTCCAAATCGGGGTCCAAAATTAAACTTAGTTTGATTTCAACAAAAATTGAATATATGGGGTTCTTTGATATGCTGAATCTAACCATGTATTTAGATTTTTGATGTTTGGGCCCCGTTATCAACTTTGTCCACATTGAGGTCAAAAGGGTCCAAAATTAAACTTTGTTTGATTTCATCAAAAATTGAATTCTTGGGGTTCTTTGATATGCTGAATCTAACCATGTATTTAGATTTTGGATATTGGACCATAATAGGTGAATGTCCAATTTAAAATTTTTAAGTTCTTAGACCACATTCAATCTGTGTTAGAAACCTATGCTGTGTCAAATATTTAATCACAATCCAAATCCAAAGCTGTATCAAGCTTGAATGTTGTGTCCATACTTCCCCCAACTGTTCAGGGTTCGACCTCTGCGGTCGTATCAAGCTGCGCCCTGCGGAGCATTTTATTACTATTTATTGAAGTAAAAAAATGATAAAAAGTAAGATATATTTAAACTTTTATCTTTTGGCATGTTTCAGCTGATATAAATGAATGAATTTGATATGTTTTATTCATTTTAAACACTTATACCTACTAATTTAGTCCTTATAAGTTATGATATTGCATATTTTAGATATATATAAAGAATTGACAAATTAATTATTACAACAGTTTTCAATCAAGATAATTTTTATTGAAAATGCATAATTTTTACAGGTACATAAAACTACTGGTAAATGAAGGTACAGGCTTCTTATTACCTATTACCTGGCATTGCTAGGTGTGAAAATTTAATTACTATAAAAACAACAGCCCCCAATAAATGATGACAAAACATGGTTGAAAGTAATAAAAGTGATATTTGAAGACTCACTTAAACAATAAAATATTTCCTGTCTATTAAATGTGAGACAAAAATCATCTTTATGCAGGAAATGGAAGGTATGAAGGACCTTAACTCTTATGGCTGAACTGTAATTTATGTTTTAAACCAAAAAAATATATAATGTAGTATAAATTTTACCTTTACATAATCAATATTTACATGATTTACATACATGTAGTACAACCATCTTGACCTTAAGTACCAAACTGAAATCTGAAGACCCTATTTGAGATTATTTTTCTTTGAACGAGAAAAAACTAATTTAAAAAGAAATATTTTGTTTTTTTTCTTAAACTATTATTTATAAAGCAACTTTGTAATTAAAATTTATGCAATAAATATTAATAATGATCAAATAATTGCTATGAAAACAAAATGAGGCTTGATCCTTAAATGGCTTCATGGTGCCAAGAAATATATCCTTTGCACGATAAAATTTAATAAATTTTCATTTATCAAGGCTTATGAACAATTTCTGTCTGTTTACCTTTGGAACTTTTGTACAATATAAGGCAACAACAAAACCAGTGCAAAATGCTATAGTCAGTGCAAAAGCCACCTGATGAGTTTCCTTGCGAGGGACAAAACATTTTTTTATCTTATGTACTAATAAATCATTGTAAATCACTGTTTATTAAGAATTTACAATAAAAATAGAAATGAGAACATTTAAAATGACTTTAACACTTTCATTATTTCATTACTAAAAGTAATTGACCAATAGAGAGTGGTTTTTATAGTAATGTCCACTCAAAATTTCAATCGACCAGTATTTGCTAGTATTTACTGGTATTTACCGCCGGCATGGTCAATACTAGTATTGACCGCTTTTTTGCCAACCTTGGATACAAGACTAACAAAGGCCAGAGGCTCCTGACTTGGGACAGGCGCAAAAATGCGGCAGGGTTAAACATGTTTTTTGAGATCTCAAACCTCCCCCTATACCTCTAGCCAATGTAGAAAAAACAAACGTACAACAGTACGCACAGTAAAACTCAGTTTAAGAGAAGTCCGAGTCCGATGTCAGAATAGGAAACAAAAGAAAATAAACAAAATGACAATAGTACATAAATAACAACAGACTACTAGCAGTTACTGACATGCCAGCTCCAGACCTCAATTAAACTGATTGAAAGATTATGTCTTCATCATATGAATATCAGGCACAATCCCTCCTGTTAGGGGTTTAGTATTATACCATCATAAAATATATGAGAAGAACATAACCCGTGTCATGCCAACAACTGGTTTTAGAATAAATATATTTAATTCCGATGCAAAGACCCAATAAGTAAATCAATATTAAAGCCAAAATATGCAATCTTTAATGACCTGACAACAGTATCGTAACTATATCCCTTCTTAATAAGTCTGTTTAAAGGTTTTGTTAGCTTTTGAGGTGAATACTGACATTTTTGTGCTTTATTTTTTTTATGAAGAACACCCCTTTAAAAAGTTAGCTCATATTGTCCATTTTAATAAATAAATTGATTAAATTCTTGATGTACTTTGATATGCTGAATCTGTCCAAATCGGGGTCCAAAAATTGAATATATGGGGTTCTTTGATATGCTGAATCTAACCTTGTATTTAGATTTTGGATTTTCAGGACCCTGTTATCAAATTGGTCCACATTGAGGTCCAATTGGTCCAAAATTAAATTTTGTTTGATTTCATCAAAAATTAAATTCATGGGGTTCTATGATATGCTGAATCTTACCGTGTATTTTGATTTTGGATAAGGACAAAAATAGGTAAAAGTCCAATTTTAAATTTTTCAGTTCTTTGACAAAAGAAATAAGAATTTAGATTATTAAAGAACTGAAAGATATTTACATTATATTTTCTACATAACATATTGAATGAAATTCTTCCCTGAATTTACCCTCATCATGTTATTAACGACAAAACAAAGTGGAATAATATGAAAATATTGGCAGTCACATTCACCAGTATTTATTTTTTTTTGCTTGTATCACTTACAATTGTTAACTGTCATGACTGTTATGATTTCTAACATATGAATAATTTTTACATCTCTTTTTTTCATAGAAAGAAAGGCTGACATGCCTCAAAGTGTTATAGATTTTCCAAGATCAAGCGAGCCTTCAGGGATAGAAAATCCAAATGTAAACTCAAGAGCTTTGCTGCAATATGGATCTGATTTAACAGAAACCAAAATAAAAAGACTAGATGAAATAATTTCAGAAGTACGTCAAAATCTTGAACTTGATCCAAAATTTCCAAAAGACCAACTGCCAAAAGCTTCAAAAATAAGTATTGAGATTAAGTCTAGTTCTAATCAAAGTTTAGATGAAAGTTATTCCTCTGAAGATGAAAAGAGTGAAAAGTTTTCAAATTTGAAAAATGTCATGGAGAAAATGACAAAAGAAAACCTTCCCAGAAAACCTGGAAAGAAAGGTTCCATTTGGAGTGACGATGTGTTTGGACAGCCAGGAGAAAATCGCTATATTTGTCCTTCTTGTGGTAAAGGCTTTTTTTACATGAGTCACTTGAGAAAACACAGCATGATCCATTCAGAGGTAAAACTGTTTACATGTCCAACATGTGGCAAAGGCTTTAACCAGAAGTCTAATTTAAGGACACATTTGAGAACACATGCAGATGAAAAAATGTTCACATGTAATCAATGTGATAAAGGATTCAATCACAATGCATCTCTACAGATTCATATGAGATCACATACTGGTGAAAAACCTTTTGTTTGTAGTGTATGCAATAAAGGATTTAGTCGAAAAAACACTCTTAAAATACATGAGACCACACATACACCTGACAAACCTTATGTATGTACTACATGTGGTAAAACATTTGGGAGACGTTATGTCTTACAGAGACATGTACTAATACATGAGGGAGAAAAACCTCACATATGTCAAAGATGTGGACGTGGATTCAGTCAGAGCGGGGATTTACAGAAACATATTAGAACACACACTGGAGAGAAACCATATGTATGTACTATATGTGAACGAGGCTTTGCTCAAAATGGTGACTTGACAAAGCACATGAAAACACATGTAGGAGATAAATCTCATGTTTGTTCTATTTGCAAGAGAGGATTTGATGAGCATAATGAAATGCAAGAACATAAAGAAAGTCATTCAGACCAATTATTTTTTGCTTGTACTAGGTGTGGCAAGGAATTCAGTCAAATCAAAGAATTAAAAAGTCATAGGTTATCACAGGCATGCAAGACTTTTGAAGCTACAGTTATAGATGATGATGATGATGATGATGATGATGATGATGATGATGATGATGATGATGATGATGAAGATGATCATGGTCATGATAATGATGATAAAGATAAATATGAAACAATAAAAAGACAAATCAGTGATAATTATACAAGTATTCAACAAGCCTCAAATGAAAAGTTGTTGTTTGCTTGTGTTAAGTGTGGCAAGGAGTTCAGTCAAATGGAAGACATACAAGCACATAAAATGTCACAAGAATGCAGTACTGATCTATCAGCCATAACTCATAACAGCAGCTGTGACACATTTGATGATGCAATAAAGCAAGAACCTATTGATATAATAGATACGTCTTGTAATACATCAGATAACTCAATTGGAAATAATGAAAAATTTAATGAAAATGATCCTCAGAATTATGTCAAAAAAGGAAAAAACTCTTCATTACAAGAAGAAGAGAAACATGTTTGTGCTACTTGTGGAATGAAATTTAATGAGGTATCAATGTTACAAGATCATTTGAAGCTACATTCTGAGCTGGAAAAATTAACAAGTTCATATGTAGCTGAGTCAGAAGGGCAATCAAATACAGATGAAGCTGAAAAGCCATTTAAATGCCATTTATGTGAGAAGTCTTATCAGGGGAAAAGTTCTCTACAGGCACATATCAGATCCCATACAGGAGAAAGACCTTTCTCATGTCAGACATGTGGCAAAAGTTTTCGACTAAAGAGAGATTTACATCGACATGACCAGTCACACAGTGGTGATCGACCATTTGCATGTACAGAATGCAGCAAAAGATTCCGCTGGAACTGGGACCTACAGAAACATATGCGAATACATAGTGGTGAGAAACCTTTCTCATGTGCGATTTGTGGCAAATTTTTTAGACAAAATAGTACACTTCAGGCACATATAAGGACTCATACTGGAGAAAAACCCTACACATGTACTACATGCAGCAGAGGTTTCAGTCAGAGTTCAGACTTAACCAAGCACATGAGAACTCATACTGGTGAAAAAGCTTTCTTCTGTGAAATGTGTGACAAATCATTTAGCTTAAGACACAACTTGCAGAAACATATGCAAAAACACAACAAGTATAGACACAAATATAAATCAGATGCACAGGAGCTTGAGAAGACAGTTAAAAAAGAGGAACAAGTTGATTAATTTTGTACCAGTATGAAAATATTAAAAAGCTTCATAAATGATCATTTTGAATTAGCATGTTCCCTGGACTTAGTGAAATAACTTTTGTCTTTTATAAATGTATACACATGTATGTTTAAATACATGTTTATTTGTAAGAGTCAAATCTATGTCGGGCCTCAATTTAAGTCCTTTCCTCAAATATGTGTCCTTTCCTCAGATCTATGTCCTGTGACGTCATTATACTCAATTGCAAATATGTGGCCCTTTGTTTATTCAAATCTGTATCCTATTTATAAGATAGGCTTTAAGTAATGTGGCTTGACTTGGGACTGTGAGGCACAAATAGAATGCAGTGGGATTATAGAACTACCCTTACCTAATCTGGGACCTTTGTGTAACAACACAACATAATAACAAACAGTAAAATCAGTTGGAATGTGCTTGACAGGAGACATAAGACACAAATCTATTTTACCATAAATTTGCTTCAAGACTTTGACACTGTGCATTTAACAAACTCTAAAAAAGCATTTCTGACTAATGTGTCTTTATTGAGAGAAAAAGGGTTTCTGACTGTTATCACTATTTAACTATTTCCTTGATTTAAAAATAATTTTTAAAAACATTGTTAATAAGGCTAATTAATAGCTAAAAGATAACTTTTTTTTACATAATTTTAATAAGTGTAAGCACCTTTTTAGAGGAGGTTAACATGGTGTCTCAGATTCCCGCATCCCTCCCTTTTACTCCAGATGAAAACTGGTCAAAGCAACTTGACCAGTATTTCCCTATTTTATACCTGTTCCCGCTTCCCACCCCTCATTCCCTTGTTCCCATATCCCCATTGAGCACCTTTATGTACATAGTTTAACATACATGATTTTTTCGATGTCCTTAACTAAATATGAAATCTTTGACAACAAAAATATTGCCTAGAAGACGTTTTGTTATTTCTGAAGTCAACATGACTTGTTGAAAAGGACACAGATTTGAGAAAAGAAAGGACATAGATTTGTGACATCTATATATGATGCAATAAAGAAAAGAACACATATCTGAAACTGGACATAGATTTGAGTCTTACATATATATGATCATGCATTACAGTAATTGATTTGTTTGGTGTCCACTTGTATGACTATGTTATGGTCGCCATTATGAAAGGAAACTTTTTCTTACAGTTGTACATGTATATAGTCCAATGAACAGATATCAATTAATCAGACCTGTGTTAATCAAAGTTGGAATTGAATACTGGTACTTTTAAATTAACTTAAAAATTATTTCAATCAAGCCACTTCCAAAACAGAAAAAACCCAAAATATATAATTATTATACACTCTTATTAATTTGTCATTATTAACCTTGTTTACTTTGTATCACATGCTACTTTAAGAGAGATGACATTCCTAAGAAAAAGTACTCTCTAAACATTTTCAGGATTAAACATGATGAAAATGAATTTTATTTTTTTCATACATGTCATATTCAAGAGAAATTATGCACAGTACTTCAAAGACATTACTATATTGAAATAAGATTTAGGGTATTAATGAAAGGAATAGGGACAATGAGGCTCATATTTGGCCCAAATTAAATTTTAATTCCAAAATCTTAAAATTTGCCCTTACTTGGCTTAGGTAAAATTTGTCCAGAAAATGAAGACAACTTTAATATTTCCTTGTTTTGTATCAACTTTTCAATACATTTTGCATTTTTTTATGCCCCCGTCGTAGCAGAGGAGGCATTAAGGTTTATCCTTGTCCGTCTGTACGCCAGTCCGTACGTCTGTACACCCTTACATCCATACGTCCCGAAATTGGTTTCCATTCTCTAACTTTAGTTTGCCTCAAACAAATGCTATGAAACTTATACACAATGCTTATTACAACAAAACACAGATCAAGTGTAAATTTGGGTGACATCACTTTTACCTTTCTAGAGTTATGTCCCTTTACAAATGGAAAAATTGCTGAATTTTTCGTTTCCGTTCTCTAACTTCTAGTTTTCCTTGATACCAAATGTTATGAATCTTATACACAATGCTTATTACCAAAAAACTCAGATCAAGTACGAATTTGGGTAGCGTCACTTTTACCGTGCTTGAGTTATGTCCCTTTAAAACGTTATATGCAAGCAGGCGCATCATCTGTGTCCAATGGACACATTCCCCATTTATTTTAAGGTGAGTTAAATTTGTATCTCAATTGGGACTCTGTATTTATATATATATATTATAAGTTCAAATCAGAAAATTTATAATTGAGCAGAATTATACATTGAATCAGATACAAAAGAAATCTTTTGCTTTTTAAAAAAATTAAACTGAGGACAAAATGTTTTGTTTTTGCCAGAATTTTTAGTTATTTCGATCTGGATTTGGAATTTAGAGGGAAACAACATTAAACTTGATGAAGTTTGGAAAGTTATCCTGAAAAATGTAAGGCTACATTTTGGGAAACACACTTTCAGAAGCATATCTCAAAGTCTTCTCTTAAATAAGCACAAAGAAGAATTACACAAATTCCCAATTTATCTGCCAATTTTTAACCTCAATTTTCTCGAAAACAAGCAGGGTAACCAATGTTTTATTTTTTGATTTTTCAAAGAACTTATCTCTAACTACAACATATCTTAAAATCACAATAAGCAACATACAATTTGAAACCTTAATTCTTCCTCATTTAAGGAATGATTTGATATTTGTTCTGGATTTTTAAATTATTGAGTTAGAGCTAACGTCTCTATGTATTTACATATCCTAGGCTTTCAAATATTTGGGTTTGACTATTCCTGATGAATTTAAATCCAGAAAAGCGCTTAATATGCACCAAATTTTAATGTGTTATTTTCTTTTTTACCATGTAATGTATTTTCAGATCTGCCAGGCAGTCTCTTTCGTATCTGACTGATGATTTTTTGAATTTTTATTATACCTGCTGAGCATGAAATTTTTTATACGACCGCAAAAATTGCGGTCGTATATTGGTATGACATTGTCGGCGTCGTCGTCCGAAGACATATTGGTTTTCGCACAATAACTTTAGTTTAAGTGAATGGATCTCTATGAAATTTTACCATAAGGTTCAATACCACAAAAGGAAGGTTGTGATTGATATTGGGGGTTATGGTACCAACAGTTAAGGAATTAGGGGCCAAAAAAGGGCCCAAATAAGCATTTTTCTAGTTTCCAGACAATAACTTGTGGATCGGTGTATGAATCTCTCTGAAATTATACCACAAGTTTCCATACCACAAAGGGATGGTTAGGATTGATTTGGGGGGTTATGGCTCAAACCGTTTAGGAATTAGGGGCAAAAAAAGGGGGAAAAGCAAGGGTTTCCTGGTTTATGGACAATTTAAAAGCAGTGTAAGGGAGGTAATCCAAATACATTAAAAGTATTAAAAAAAATTTGGATTACCTCCCTTACATTGCTTTTAAATTATGTATAAAGATGTTGTATGGTCTTGATGTGATAAGCTGTCAATTAATTTTTATACGACCGCAAAAAAATTTTTGTGGTCGTATATTGGTATGACGTTGGCGTCGTCGGCGTCGTCGTCGTCGTCGTCGTCCTGCGTCGTCGTCCGAATACACATTGGTTTTCGCACTCTAACTTTAGTTTAAGTGAATGGATCTTTTTGAAATTTTACCATAAGGTTAAATACCACAAAAGGAAGGTTGGGATTGATTTTGGGGGTTATGGTACCAACAGTTAAGGAATTAGGGGCCAAAAAGGGGCCAAAAATAAGCATTTTCTAGTTTCCAGACAATAACTTTGGAACAGTGTATGGATCTCTCTGAAATTATACTACAAGTTTCCATACCACAAAGGGATGGTTAGGATTTGCTTTGGGGGGTTATGGCTCAAACCGTTTAGGAATTAGGGGCAAAAAAGGGGGAAAAACAAGGTTGTCCTGGTTAATGGACAAATACTTTAGTACAAAACATAATTTAAAGCAGTGTAAGGGAGATAAATCAAATACATCATTGAAATTATCTCCCTTACACTGCTTTTAAATTATGTATAAAGTAATGGTTAATGAACAATAAAGATAATTTAAAACAGTGTAAGGGAGGTAATCCAAATACAACGTGTTGGTTACTTCCCTTACACTGCTTTTAAATTATGTTTAAAGAAATGCATATTTATAAAGGAAGACCAGTAAAAATATCTGCAAATGTTGCATCATTTTATTTTACAAAAAAATCTATATGAAAGATTTGACACTATATTTTTAATTCTTTTATAAAATAGATTAAGTTAGCACTATGGTAAAATTAAATGGGTAATTATGGTTGCCAACTCCATTGGAAATTTGAATTGAGATTATGACCATATCTTGAGGGAAAGAATTTTTTGGGGAAAACATGGGGGGGGGATAAAAAGAAATTGTGGGGGGTCAATTTTTTCTCATTTCAGATTTCAGAAATTAAAAAGAATTATTCTTCAAATATTATTTTTTTTTCAAATTTCAAATATTGAAAAATTTCAAGAAGTAATCTTTAATTGCACAGTATGGCACATTAGATTTGTAAAATCTTTGATCACATTTATTTATTTGTTATGCCGAATCTAACAGTGTATTTAGATTTTTAATTTTGGGTCCAGTTTTCAAAATAGTCTACATTAAGGTCCAAAGGGTCCAAAATTAAACTTTGTTTGATTTTAGCAAAAATTGAATATATGAGGTTCTTTGATATGCTGAATCTAAACATGTATTTAGATTTTTGATTTTTGGCCCAGTTTTCAAGTTGGTCCAAATTGGGGTCCAAAATTAAACTTTGTTTGATTTCAACAAAAATTGAATATATGGGGTTCTTTGATATGCTGAATCTAACCATGTATTTAGATTTTTTATTTGTGGACCCCGTTATCAAATTGGTTCATATTGAGGTCAAAAGGGTCCAAAATTAAACTTTGTTTGATTTCATCTAAAATTGAATTATTGGGGCTCTTTGATATTCCAAATCTAACCGTGTATTTAGATTTTTAATTTTGGGTCCTGTTTTTTAAATTGGTCTACATTAAGGTCCAAAGGGTCCAAAATTAAACTTAGTTTGATTTTAACAAAAATTGAATTCTTGGGGTTCTTTGATATGCTGAATCTAAACATGTGTTTAGATTTTTGATTATGGGCCCAGTTTTCAAGTTGGTCCAAGATAGGGTCCAGTATTTAAACTTTGTTTGATTTCAACAAAAATTGAATATATGGGGTTCTTTGATATGCTGAATCTAAACATGTATTTAGATTTTTGATTATGGGCCCAGTTTTCAAGTTGGTCCAAATTGGGGTCCAAAATTAAACTTTGTTTGATTTCAACAAAAATTGAATATATGAGGTTCTTTGATATGCTGAATCTAACCATGTATTTAGATTTTTTATTTGTAGGCCCCGCTATCAAATTGGTTCATATTGAGGTCAAAAGGGTCCAAAATTAATCTTTGTTTGATTTCATCAAAAATTGAATTATTGGGGTTCTTTGATATGCCAAATCTAACCGTGTTTTTAGATATTTAATTTGGGTCCCGTTTTTTAAATTGGTCTTCATTGAGGTCCAAAGGGTCCAAAATTAAACTTAGTTTGATTTTAACAAAAATTGAATTCTTGGGGTTCTTTGATATGCTGAATCTAAACATGTGTTTAGATTTTTGATTATGGGCCCAGTTTTCAAGTTGGTCCAAGTTGGGGTCCAAAATTAAACTTTTTTTGATTTCAACAAAAATTGAATATATGGGGTTCTTTGATATGCTGTATCTAACCATGAATTTAGATTTTTTATTTGTGGGCCCCGCTATCAAATTGGTTCATATTGAGGTCAAAAGGGTCCAAAATTAAACTTTGTTTGATTTCATCAAAAATTGAATTATTGGGGTTCTTTGATATTCCAAATCTAACCGTGTATTTAGATTTTTAATTTTAAGTCCTGTTTTTTAAATTGGTCTACATTAAGGTCCAAAGGGTCCAAAATTAAACTTAGTTTGATTTTAGCAAAAATTGATTTCTTGGGGTTCTTTGATATGCTGAATCTAAACATATGTTTAGATTTTTGATTATGGGCCCAGTTTTCAAGTTTGTCCAAGTTGGGGTCCAAAATTAAACTTTGTTTGATTTTAACAAAAATTGAATATATGGGGTTCTTTGATATGCTGAATCTAACCATGTATTTTGATTTTGGACATTGGACCATAATAGGTAAATTAAAAAAATTCAAGTTCTTAGACCACATTCTTTCTGTGTCAGAAACCTATGCTGTGTCAAATATTTAATAACAATCCAAATTCAGAGCTGTATCAAGCTTGAATGTTGTGTCCATACTTGCCCCAACTGTTCAGGGTTCGACCTCTGCGGTCGTATCAAGCTGCGCCCCAGCGAAGCATTTTATATATTTTAAAACTTTTATGATGTATTTAAATGGGTAATTATGGTTGCAAACTCCATTAGAACTTTGAATTGAGATACTTACCATATCTTGAGGGAAAGATTTTTTTTTTTGGAATAAGGGGGGAGGTGAAAAAAATTGGAGGGGGGACAATTTCTCTCATTTCAGATTTCAGAAATTAAAAGAAAATGTCTTCAAATATTTTTTTTTGGGGGTTAATATTCAACAGCATAGTGTATTGCACAAGAGCAAAAAAAAAAGGAATATAAATTCAAATCATATAACCAATTTGAAGTTCTTTGACTACAGTTATTCTGTGTCAGAAACCTATAATGTGTCAAAAATTTAGTTACAATCCAAATTCAGACCTGTATGAAGAGTGAATATTGTGTCCATTTTGGCCCCAACTTTTCAGGGTTGGACATCTGCGGTCGTATGCAGCTGCGCTCAGCGAAGCAATTTATTAGAAGTTACTATTAAAGGAATATTAATTTTAGCCATGATTTTGTATGTCATTTTCTATTTTAAGACTTTTATGATGTATTTAAATTGGTAATTATGGTTGCAAACTCCATTGGAAATTTAAATTGAGATTATGACCATATCTTGAGGGAAAGAATTTTTTTTTTGGAAAAGGGGGGGGGGGGGGAGGTGAAAAAAAAATTGGGAAGGGAAAAGGGGGGGGGGAGGTTAAAAAGAATTTGTGGGTGGGGGCAATTTTTTCTCATTTCAGATTTCAGAAATTAAAAAGAAAATTTCTTCAAATATTTTTATTTTTTTTGGCAAAATAAAGGGGGGGGGGGGGGTCAATATGCAACAGCATGGTGTATTGCACAAAAGCAAAAAATTGAATATAAATTCAAATTATATAACCAATTCTAAGTTCTTTGACTACAGTTATTCTGTGTCAGAAACCTATTATGTGTCAAATATTTAATTACAATCCAAATTCAGACCTGTATCAAGAGCAAATATTGTGTCCATTTTTGCCCCAACTGTTCAGGGTTGGACCTCTGCGGTCGTATCCAGCTGCGCTCAGCAAAGCATTTTATTGTAAATATCTAATAACGAGTGAGAGTTTACTTTGCATAACATCATGTGCAACCTCTTGTTCTTTTTAAAGCTAAAATAAATATTTTAAGCAAACCTCATCTGATTTTAAATTGTCCAAGAATGTTGAAAAAACACATTTGACAAGTAAGATGTACCTTAGAAATAATGATGAAAAGACTTGTTTGTTTTGTAAATTTTCAAATTCTCTTGTTTCATTGTATCAACTTTGAGTACTGGTATATTATAAATTTGAGCGCTGTCATGTGTGCAATTCTTGCCAGAATTTTATGAAACTTATATCATAGGTTTATATCAGCAATGTCTTTGAAGAGTTCGAAAATAAGTGTTGATCAATTATTTTTAAAAGAGTTGTGCCTTTGGAAATATTAATAATATGGAAAATTACCTTATGAGCGCTCTTATTTGTACAATTTTTGCCAGATTTTTATGAAATTTATATTATAAGTTTATATCACCAATGTTTTTGACAAGTTTGAAAATCAGTGCCGATCATTTTTTTATAAGAGTTATGCCCCTTGGAAACATTGATTTTATGGAAAATTGCATTGTTCAGCACTCTCATCTGTACAATTCTTGCCAGATTTTTATGAATTTATATTATAAGTTTATTATCATCAATGTCTCAGACAAATTTGAAAATCAGTGCCGATTAATTATTTTTAAAAGAGTTATGTCCCTTGGAAATATTGATTATATGGAAAATAACATTGTTAGGGCTCTCATGTGTACAATTCTTGCCAGAATTTTATGAAACATATATCATAGGTTTATAAAAGCAATGTCTTTGACACTTTCGAAAATAAGTGCTGATCAAATATTTTTAACGAGTTATGCCCTCAGAAATATTAATTATAACGGAAATCCCATTGCGTTTGCTCTTCATTTCTCTAAGATATTTATAAATTGTTTTGAAGAAAAAAAAAAGTGTTTTTTTTTAGTTATTACCCTAGTACCTTGGATAGATAAAATTTGTGCAACACGGGGGACAAATTTGAGAAGCATGTGCATAAGAGTTACTGGAAAAACAACTTTATATTTGGTGAGATTATTTAAAAAGCTATTCAAATGCTTTTCTCAAATCATTTTGTTGTGTCTTGTCTGCACACTATTTCTACAAAGAAAATGCAGTTGGAAAGCTTCATAAAATCAACATTTTCTGGTTCCAGAAAATCATTCTATAAAGATAATATTCTCCCACTCATCAACTAATGTTGTTTTGTATGGGAGTGGTTGTGTTAAAAATGAGCAAGCAAGAATACTTTTAATTAAATTGCAGAAAGGGACGGCAAGACTTATATTAGATGCTGACTAATCACACAAATCAGCCTCATCACCATTGTTTAAACAGTTTGGATGGATGACAGTAAAGAACATAATCTTAAACCATAATTTTTTTGCTGCCTAAATGCCATAAATATGAGACAAGCTACTTTATATTTTATTGAACATTTTTTTTTAAATCCCAGATGACAACCAATATTACTTAAGGAATACATCAACTGCAAGTCCCAATAGTCGAAATGAAAAAGAATTATAAACATCTTTCATAAACATGTTTTCTGAATCTTTATTATGGAATAACTCACCATGTGCCCCTCAATATATAAAATCAACCTACAGTTCAAGTTCATTAAAAAATAAAAGGTGAGAGCTAGAATGGTTTTATATTGGTGTAAAATTGTTAATAATGAATCAAAGCTGTGTAGTTTATTGTATAGATTGATGCTGGAGTATGTGAAAAACATCTAAAGCAAGTGTGACATATACATGTATGCATACATGTATATGTCACACTTGCTTTAGATAATTTTCGTCTGTAAATTGTTATGTTAATTAGAATGTCAGTACTGTAATGTATTTTATTAGTATTTACTTTGTTAATGGTACATTTATGACAACTTCTTATCTGAGTTTTTTTATATATGTATATTTGCTTGATTAATTGTTGCCCTACAATAGTAGTGGGGCATTATGTTTCTGATCTGTGCATCATTTTATCCTCTGTCTGTTCTGTATAAGTTATAGTGTTGGTTTAAGGAAGGTTAAAGTTGTGGTTATATCAACTTGAAACTAAGAACAAGTGTTCATTATGATTTTAACTTTATAGAATATATGCCAGATTTTTTAGAGAAGCATAAGGGGAGATTATTCAAACCTTTGAAAGAAATTTAAACCAACAAATTTACTTATAAAAGTAAATATTACTTACATCTTTAAGTATATAAGTATAGAAACATGACATATAAGTATTACCTATGACTGTACTAGTTTCAAGGTTCATTGTTCTTGGAAATGTAATAATGTGAGGGGGCAAGGTGTCCTATTAGCACATAATTTTGTTTATATTTAATATTCATCGTATTTTATGATGACCTCAGGGAAGATTAGCTGTACACTTAACTGTGTTACCCTCTTTAAATGAATTATTATTATTATATTGATTATTATTATTATTTTCCTTGATTTTTGAGAAAAGGACACATATTATGACATAATTATGATGTCATAAAACATTAAAAATCTAATTCATTCACATATCTTGATTTCTGCATTGTCCTGTATTATAATGTATGTGCAATTTTGAAATAATTCTCGCATTAGTTTTTTTGTCTTAATACTGGTACCCCTACTCTTTTTCTTTACCCAGAATGCACTAAATGGCCAAACATTTTGTTACTATTTCTCTTCAAACACAGGACTGTTTTATTTAAAAGCCTTCAATTGTTAGATTATTTCTAATGTAAAGTTGCTTTACCCATATAAGTAAGTAAATAAAAAAATTACTTCATATGATCAGTGTAGTTAAAAATCTGTTTCATTATCTCAGCAAAAATGGGCATTTTTTTAAGAATATTGTATTTTTAACACAAGCATGGAGTCAAATGTGTACATACTTGGAAATGGAGAAATGTTTTTGTGTTAAAAGCTAGTAACAAAAAGTTATTTACTGAAATTTTCAGTATGTCATAAAAATTCTTTCTCAGTTTGTGGTTTTGTGTTTTATCAGAAAGATTGTTTAGTGGTGGAGGGAGGAAGGATCACATTACAAGACATGGATTTTGACTTTTCTAAAAGTGTCAGAAGTAAAGTTGACAATTTTATTTTATTTTGTTTAAACAATTGGTAGGTCATAGTCTTCAAAAGGATTATGCCAATTCTTCTAGTATTGAAGTAACTGAAGTATGCAGACATATAAGTAATCTTTTTTTAAAGTCGGGTTGCATATATACTTAATAACAAGGAACATGAGCTCTTAAGAGCTCTTTAACCGACTGATAGTTGCTGACTTTTTTTAGATATATGTGTGATACGATTAATTTAAACATAAGATCTACAATTTAAACAGAAAATTGTTTACCTTCAAAGATTGACAGGTCAAAAAGTTGACACTAAAAATATTGTCTACTTTTAAGGTCGACAGGTTGACAAGTTGATGTTAATAAAAAATTGTCTACCTTCAAAGGTCGACAGGTTGACAGTACAAACAAATATGTTTTATTTCAAAGGTCAACATGGTATTTTTTCATTATTTTAAATTGCCAACTTGTCAACCTATCAACCTGGTAACTGGTATTTCCCATTTTATCAAATTGTAAAATTTTATTCTTGTAAACTTGTCAATCATAATGGTTCTTATAAAATTGTCAACATGTCAACCATAATGGTATTTTTATCAAATTGTCAACATGTCATCCTGCGAACTTGTCAACCATAATGGTATTTTTATCAAATTGTCTACATGTCAACCATAATTGTTTTTTTGTCCCGCGCATAACTCGTTGCTGGGGACATGGAAATACCCAAACTCCATACAGCAATATCGTTCGGGTCATACTTCCCTTTCTCTACAAACACTGCCATTGGCCCTTCGGGTGTTTTCGGTTATTTGCTGTGGAATAGACTGGAACTACTTTTTCCTTAGCAGCAATAGCGTCAAAATGGCTGCTTGGCAGCAGACGCCGGAAAAATCACCGACATAAGCTGTTGTTTCTGTTTTAGAACCAATCTTTCGAACTGTTATTCAACTGTTATTCGCTTTCTGGACCTAAATTTTCAAAATTTTACAATTTATTTTCTTCTTCTTTTTAAATTGTATCCAATTACTGCAGGAAATCGTAAAAATACCATCAACTTGCCTATATGCCGTGGCTGTTTCCAAAAATAAAATCAAAATTTTATATCATTTAGGCAAGAAGCTTTGTCAAATTTGTCTAAATACAAAGGTGGATATATACAGTAAAAAAAGAGAATGGCTAACTTCTCTCCAGATTTAGAGTAAGAACCAAATCGATCATAGAATATTCTGACACTGACACAGTGACAGCTCCAACACTTACGGCATTGAATTACTATATATATATATCCAATTCAGTTCACTCTGCATAAATTTTCATGTTTTTCACTTACCTGGAAGAGCATGGAAAATTACACTTTTCCCGAAACCAACAGGAAGGTTAACTTACTACAACATCTTTATTGTTCAAAATAGCTGTAATTCCAGCCAGCTGTTCTCCTTTTATTGATAAATCTGGGTAAATTTCAAACAACAAATGGAAGTTTTTAACGACCTTGACTGGCTATACAGCCCTTGCACGGTCGGTAAATTTCCTGACACACCTCCTTAATTTTGCCACCCATTTCTACCCGGAAATAATGGGATAGTTCGTGTTGTGTTACTGCACAAAAAAAGAGAGTTCCAAATCCTTCGCTTTATTTCCTTGCTGTATACTTCATTGTTATCAAATTTATTATATATTGTGTAATTGTTTAATAAAATTGACAATTGGAAGAATATCTTAAATCATTTTGTTAATAATTTAGCACAACCACAAGAATCTTTTGATTTTAAAAAGGGCTGATGGCAGTGGTGTAAAGAAGCGAAGCATCATGTCACCACTGTTTCGGAGTTTGGGAAATACCGGGCGTCCGTCCGTGTGTCCGTCCGTCCGGTCTTGTTAGCGCTCTCACGGGTACAATTCTTGCCAGATTTTTATAAAACTTGTAGGTTAATATCAGCAATATCTCGGACAAGTTTTATAACGTGGCCGATCGACAATTTTAAAAGAGTTATGCCCCTTGGAAATATTAAATTTATGGAAAATGGCCTCGTTAGCGCTCTCACGGGTACAATTCTTACCAGATTTTTATAAAACTTATACTAAAATAGGTTAATATCAGCAATATCTCGGACAAGTTCAATAATGGTGGCCGATCGACTTAATTTTTATACGACCGCAAAAAAATAGCGTTCGTATATTGCTATCATGTCGTCGTTGGCGTCCGAAGACACATTTGGTTTCCTGACAATAACTTTAGTTAAAGTGAATGGATCTCTATGAAATTTTACCAGAAGGTTCAATACCACAAAAGGAAGGTTGGGATTGATTTTGGGGGTTAGGGTACCAACAGTTTAGGAATAAGGGGCCAAAAAGGGGCCAACAACAAGCATTTTTGTAGTTTCCGGACAATAACTTGTGTGTGTTAGTGTATGGATCTCTCTTAAATTGTACCACAAGGTTCAATATCACAAAGAGAAGGCTGGTATTGAGTTTGGGGTAATTGCTCTAGTTTTCTAGTTTCCAGACAATGATTTGTGTTAAAGTTTATGGAACTCTCTGAAATTGTACATTTTTCCTGAAAAGAAAATAATCTTCAAAATTTCGAGAAAAAAAATTTGGGGGCGGGTTTCAAATTTTTTTGGGATTTCAAATTTTTTGAATATTTCAAATCTTTTGCAATTTTTTTTTTAGGGTGGGGGTATTTATTTATTTTTTTTGGAGGGGAGGTTCATACTTTTTTCTTCCAAGATTTTTCAAAATTTCAAAGTTTTTCTAAAAAAAAAATTATTTCCCAAAATTTTTTTGGTTTTTTTTCAAAAAAATTTCCATTTTTACATAGATTATTTCTGATTTATATATAAAAGCAAAAAATACTGATATGGCAGGATATACACACCAAACAGGGTTTGTAAATTATTAAATATAACAGATTAACTAAGTCATGTAAGTATTGTGCAAAAAAAGTTAAATCACAAAAATACTGAACTCAGAGTAAAATTCAAAACGGAAAGTCCCTAATCAAATGGCAAAATCAAAAGCACCAACACATCAAACGAATGTACAACAGCACAGTATTGCGCTATAGCAAGAAATCTTCAATTGAAAATAAATACAAATCTTTTAACCAATTTAAATGGGATTAATTTAAAGTCTTTAATTTTTGGGGGTTCTAACCTTGACTTACTATTTTGGATATTGGGCCCCATTTTTGAATTGGTCTATATTTAGGTCCAAAGGGTCCAAAATTAAACTTTGTTTGATTTCATCAAAAACTGAAATATTACGGCTCTATGATATGATAAATCTCATTGTGCATTTAGATTTTTTTATTTTTGGCCCTGTTTTCAAATTAGTCCACATTAAGGTTTGAAGGGTTCAAAATTAAACTTTGTTTGATTTCAACTAAAATTAAATTTTTGGTGTTTTTTATATGCTGAATCTAACCATGTTGTTAGACTTTGGATATCAGACCATACTAGGTAAATTAAATGTTCCATTTCAAATTTTTAAGATCTTTGACCACATTCATTTTGTGTCAGAAACCTTTGTGAAGACCAGTAATGGCGGACAAATAGCGATAAGGTGTATGGTCTTGCAATGTATTAAGTTGCAGAATTTCAAAGGGTTTTAATTAATGATAAAAAGTTTTTCTTATATTAACAAAAAATAGTTTATAAAATTCATATTGCATGTATAGTCTTGATATTTGTATTTAAATTATTAAATTCTTACTTTGTACATTGAATATGCATGTTTACTGAACATGTTGAAGATGTGATAATGTAAAATGAACCTTGAAGACATTTTTTTCTTTTATCTTTTTTTTACATTTCAAAAGATTTGTTAGAGTTGTAGTATATGAAAGACTCTAAGCATGTTTAGATCTTATATACACAACTACACATGTATAAGTGAAGAGAATTTATGCATTTTAATTTGATTATATATATCTTAATAGCTAGTTACCTTGTTTTTATTTTCACCTGTGAAAAATATTGGGCATTGTGGAGGTATTGCTTTTCAGGTTAATTTAAATCTTGATTTCCTTCTTTCACCTAGGTTGCTCATTTCAGTTTACAGGACATGTTTCTATGAAATGAAAGGACTGGTTTTATATTCCTTTGTGCAAATCTTCGGGTAGTGTTCTACAACTGTGTCAAGTTTCATAAATATTGCACTTACAATTTGTGCATGGACAGATGGAAGGAAGGTCCATGGTACATGTGATTCCTATAAACCACACAAAAACTTTGTTTGCAACTGAACACTCAAATTTATATTACTGATAAACAGGGGGATGACACGATGTGGGATATAGGGGGTAAAAAAGTGAGGATGTGGGATATAGGTGGTAAAAAAGGGAAAAAAGTGGGATTTGGGAAAAAAAAATACAAACAAGTGGGATTTGGGAAACAAATGCAAACAAGAGGGATTTGGGAAATGAGCACCTCTCTTTCACCGTCCTCGCTAAAAATCTATGAATAGAAATATAATTATCTCTTCGCTACAAGGGTAGCCAATCGGACACATTATTTTGACTGAAAGACTACACATCTTTTCTCTTACACCTTGATGCCGTGTGCGTACGGGAGAAGCAGCAAATACGTATTTTCCAGTCTCAAGATTAGAACCAGCTGTGGAATGAACCCTGTATTTCCAGTACTTGAGGGACAAATGCTTAAATGAAACAACCAAGGTTAATTATGGACAATAGAAACTTGTTTATTGTTATAGCTGTGATAAGTTCAGTATTTTTATTGTACCCTATAGAAAACGATGCACTTGCAATGATGGTTTTATACAGCTGAGCTTGTATAAGATATCTCTTGAAATGTTTCAGTAAAATTTTTCTTACAAAAGTGATTGTACAGTTCAGCGAATGTAGATGTTCCTTGTGTACCTTGTTCATAAAGAAAGATTTATCGAGTTCAATTATCTGATTTTCCTTTCCTTTATTGTAGTAGCAAAGGTTGTCTCATGCCATGATATTGACACAGTGAAATGTCTCCCCATCCACGAGGATCTGACACTTGTTTGATAATAATAATCATCTTTAATTCCAGTGGGGAAGCTGAATTAGTACAAACTCTTATTTTCTCTTACATTCATTTAATAATTTCTGGATTATCCAGTGAAATGACATGTGTTGCTGTGCTTCTTAAAGTTTATAGTTGGAACAGAGAAAGCAAAAGACTTTTTAAAAGTGTTTGTTCTTGCCTTTGGTATATCCAGTAATTCAGTTGTGTTTGATCTAAGTCGCATTCCATTTCTATTTGTTACATGCTATCTTTATCTTATTAATGCCTTATGGTAGATTAAACTATCAGTTAATCTAAGCCTGGCCAAGATAACTTGTCAAAAAGTGTATATGATGGGATACCGAAAGGTCTTTCAGGAATAATTCTTGCCCATTTTTGGGGTAGAGATTACATTCATACAATCAACTCTCATGTGACTGGCTTTATCACTCCTTTTGACATAAACAAAACATAGTGCATTTAGCACAACCGATTCTATACATACTATCCATGAACATTTCAAGAAATTAATTAATGAAATATATACTCAAAAATTCAAGTTACAAAATGATGTGTATAATCATACTTGTCAAAAAAAATTACATAAATTTTGCATGGTGCATGAATTTATTATCTGTTCTAAAAATATTTATGATGTCATTGTTGAATTTGATGTGGTATGACATTGTCCTTGTCGTTGTCGTCCGAAGACATTTGGTTTCCAGACAATAACTTGAGTTTGAGTATGAGTATGGATCTCTATGAAATTGTTACACCAGGTTCTATACCACAAAAGGAAGGTTGGGATTGATTTTTTGGGTCATTGTCCCACTGTTGAGTCCATTCATTTTCAACATTCAACATTCGATTTCAACATTCAACATTCAAAATTGTTTTTTTTTGTTGAACTTTTTTTTCAATTTTTTTTTTTTTTTTTTTTTTTTTAACATTCGTTTTCAACATTCAACATTCGTTTTCAACATTCGATTTTCAACTTTCAACATTCGTTTTCAACATTCCACATTCGTTTTTTAACTTTCAACATTCGTTTTCAACATTCAACATTCGTTTTCAACATTCAACATTCAAAATTTTTTTTTTGTGAAACTTTTTTTTCAATTTTTTTTTTTTTTTTCAACATTCAACATTCGTTTTCAATATCCGATTTTCAACTTTCAACATTCGTTTTCAACATTCAACATTCGTTTTTAACATTCGATTTTCAACATTCAACATTCGTTTTCAACATTCAACATTCGTTTTCAACATTTAACATTCGTTTTCAACATTCAACATTCGTTTTCAACATTCAACATTCGTTTTCAACATTCGATTTTCAACTTTCAACATTCGTTTTCAACATTCAACATTCGTTTTCAACATTCAGCATTCGTTTTCAACATTCCACTTTCAACATTCAACATTCGTTTTCGACATTCAACATTCGTTTTCAACATTCGATTTTCAACTTTCAACATTCGTTTTCAACATTCAACATTCGTTTTCAACATTCAACATTCGTTTTCAACATTCAACATTCGTTTTCAACATTCATTATTCGTTTTCAACATTCAACATTCGTTTTCAACATTCAACATTCGTTTTCAACATTCGATTTTCAACATTCAACATTCGTTTCGACATTCAACATTCGTTTTCAACATTCGATTTTCAACTTTCAACATTCGATTTTCAACATTCAACATTCGTTTTCAACATTCAACATTCGTTTTCAACATTCAACATTCGTTTTCAACATTCGCTTTTTAACTTTCAACATTCGTTTTCAACATTCAACATTCCTTTTCAACATTCGATTTTCAACATTCGTTTTCGACATTCAACATTCGTTTTAACATTCGAACTTTCAACATTCGTTTTCAACATTCAACATTCGTTTTCAACATTTAACATTCGTTTTCAACATTCAACATTCGTTTTCAACATTCAACATTCGTTTTCAACATTCAGCATTCGTTTTCAACATTCGATTTTCAACATTCAACATTCGTTTTCACTTTCAACATTCGTTTTTAACATTCAACATTCGTTTTCAACATTCGATTTTCAACTTTCAACATTCGTTTTCATCATTCAACATTCGTTTTCAACATTCAACATTCCTTTTCAACATTCAACATTCGTTTTCAACATTCGATTTTCAACTTTCAACATTCGTTTTCAACATTCAACATTCCTTTTTAACATTCGATTTTCAACATTCAACATTCGTTTTCGACATTCAACATTCGTTTTCAACATTCGATTTTCAACTTTCAACATTCGTTTTCATCATTCAACATTCGTTTTCAACATTCAACATTCGTTTTTAACATTAAACATTCTTTTTCAACATTCAACATTCGTTTTCAACATTCGATTTTCAACTTTCAACATTCGTTTTCAACATTCAACATTCCTTTTCAACATTCAACATTCGTTTTCAACATTCGATTTTCAACTTTCAACATTCGTTTTTAACATTCAACATTCCTTTTTAACATTCGATTTTCAACATTCAACATTCGTTTTCGACATTCAACATTCGTTTTCAACATTCGATTTTCAACTTTCAACATTCGTTTTCAACATTCGTTTTCAACATTCAACATTCGTTTTCAACCTTCAACATTCGTTTTCAACATTCGATTTTCAATTTTCAACATTCGTTTTCAACATTCAACATTCGTTTTCAACATTCAACATTCGTTTTTAACATTCGATTTTCAACTTTCAACATTCGTTTTCAACATTCAACATTCGTTTTCAACATTTAACATTCGTTTTCAACATTCAACATTCGTTTTCAACATTCAACATTCAAAATTTATTTTTTGTGAAACTTTTTTTCAATTTTTTTTTTTTTTCAACATTCAACATTCGTTTTCAATATCCGATTTTCAACTTTCAACATTCGTTTTCAACATTCAACATTCGTTTTTAACATTCGATTTTCAACTTTCAACATTCGTTTTCAACATTCAACATTCGTTTTCAACATTCAACATTCGTTTTTAACATTCGATTTTCAACTTTCAACATTCGTTTTCAACATTCAACATTCGTTTTCAACATTCAACATTCGTTTTCAACATTCGATTTTCAACTTTCAACATTCGTTTTCAACATTCAACATTCCTTTTCAACATTCAACATTCGTTTTCAACATTCAATTTTCAACTTTCAACATTCGTTTTCAACATTCCTTTTCAACATTCGATTTTCAACATTCAACATTCGTTTTCGACATTCAACATTCGTTTTCAACATTCGATTTTCAACTTTCAACATTCGTTTTCAACTTTCAACATTCGTTTTCAACATTCAACATTCGTTTTCAACATTTAACATTCGTTTTCAACATTCAACATTCGTTTTCAACATTTAACATTCAAAATTTATTTTTTGTGAAACTTTTTTTTCAATTTTTTTTTTTTTTTTTCAACATTCAACATTCGTTTTCAATATTCGATTTTCAACTTTCAACATTCGTTTTCAACATTCAACATTCGTTTTTAACATTCGATTTTCAACTTTCAACATTCGTTTTCAACATTCAACATTCGTTTTCAACATTTAACATTCGTTTTCAACATTCAACATTCGTTTTCAACATTCAACATTCGTTTTCAACATTCAACATTCAAAATTTATTTTTTGTGAAACTTTTTTTTCACAATTTTTTTTTTTTTTTAACATTCAACATTCGTTTTCAATATCCGATTTTCAACTTTCAACATTCGTTTTCAACATTCAACATTCGTTTTTAACATTCGATTTTCAACTTTCAACATTCGTTTTCAACATTCAACATTCGTTTTCAACATTCAACATTCGTTTTCAACATTCGATTTTCAACTTTCAACATTCGTTTTCAACATTCAACATTCCTTTTCAACATTCAACATTCGTTTTCAACATTCAATTTTCAACATTCAACATT